AAGAACACAAATAACAGTGGTTTAAGAACTGATTCTATTCTATTCGAGGGACACAACTTGTCACCCTTTTTCACTCGGACGTTTATTCTCCAATTATTACTCATTATTGTCCTTTAGCTAGCAGACTAGAAATCCAGTTTAATAGATGACTTCAAGTTTCATAGGCATGAGTCTTAATGACATAATTAATTATTAATAATAATTAAAAATAAATGCTTTGGCAAAGTCATTTATTTTTAATTATTATTAATAACTAATTATATCATTTAGGTGCCCTCGGTAATCTGCTTCCGTTAAACATTGTAAGCAATCGTTGTGATGAACAAATCTTTGACATTAGATTGTGAGCAGTGTTTCATAATCCAATCTATGATATTTGTTTTCGTCACCTCGCACGATATTTGTGAGAGACGTCAGCTTCTAGATATAAGTTTTGACTTTGTTTTCTTTTTAAGCGTAGGTGTGGTATTTGAATTGAAATTTTAACACTCCTCAGGGAGTTGTTAAACCTTAGTTTAAAGTTAATTATTATATTTTTTTAAATTTTATTTTTTAAAATTGCTAAAAAAAATTTTTCAAAATAACTATAAAAGCATTATTGAGATTTATGGATAAAATGGGTTTTTTTAAATAAGTCCTGGTGTCTTCTGTAATAATATCAGTTTAAAAACCAAGTGAATTTTTTTTTTTTTTTTGATGGTCCTTACTAATTAAAGTAAAGAAATAAACTATCTATACCATAATAATATAATAATTTAAGTAAAGTGTACTTTAAAAATTTAAAAAAATTTCTTGCTTTGGAAAAAATTCTTATGTTTTTGATTTTAAACAACTCACGCTATCAATAAAAAGAGTTGACATGTCATGTGGTACAAGAATTTTTTTTTATAAGGATAGAAAAACGTCTATTTTGTTTTATTAATCTTAAAAGACTGTTTATTTTTCTTAAATATAATCAGAAATCTTCGCTAGTTTTTTGTTCATATTCTCAAATAGTAATATTTTAATAGTATTATTTTGAGATAAAGATAAGTATTTTTTATCTGCAAACATAATCGTCATTCGATTTGAGGCTTATACAAATTAAAAAACGTATACAAATTTAAACTTAGTAACAGATAATACTAGAGTATCATCTTAAATATGATGATACTCTGGTATCATCTGTTATTAAGTTTAAACTTGTATACGTTTTTTAATTTATATGTTGATGTACATCAATTCATTTCATTTAAGTTACTACATTATTAGCAGGCAGGTTTGACTGGCAATATAAATTTTTAATTTATTTATTTAGCCGTTCGTTAACAAGTCCTGTGCTTAATAATATATTAAAAGATGGTAAGGACGTGAAGAAAACAGGTTTGTAAATGATGTTGTACATCATGCAGACAGCTCAGAAGAAGAAGTAAGTTTTTTTTTTAATTACAAAAGTAAATATATAATATAATATTTGTTGCTGCCTTGTTCTATATAAATATTTCTAATATGCAGGTAACATTTATATATGTATTAGTTTGAATAAATCATTTTAATTAAGTTACATTATTGGCAGGAATGTTTGACTGGAAATATAAACGATGTTGTACATAAGGCGGATAGCTTAGGCGAAAAAGAGGTAACAATCTAATAATTTTTATTTATAAATAATGATATATGCATTGCTGCTTTTTTCTATATAAATGTTACCTAACATTTGGCAACATTCATAATTGTGTATAATGCCTAATTATAAAGTAAGTTATAATAGATAATAATTATAAGTATAATGAATTTGTAAATAAAGAAAACTAGTTAGAATGTATATATTAGTTGTATGATGTATTGTCTAGATAGGTGAAATGGAGAATGAGACTAACTACGGTCAAAAAAATAATGAATATCAAAATGTGAATGGTACTTTGTTTAACATCTACCTGTTTCTACAGATACAGTACAGATGCATTTATAAATGGGCTTGATGTTTTTATCATTTGCTTGAAACTTGAAGTTATTATAAAATTTATATATACTATTTTTATGAAATAGTTAATATAAAATAATAAACGCGTAAATTGTTTTATTTTCTGTAAAAATTGTTTTTTTGATAAATTTCAGTTGTTTATCACTATGTATATCACTTATAGTATTATATTACTTGTAATTTTTTGTTTTATTTATTTTCAGTATGTATAACATACTGAAAATAAATAATATGCATGCATTAAATACTGTGGGAAAGTCAAGTTTTGATATTTTAGGTGCATTATAGCTATTATCTTTCAAAGATTTGTAGGATTTAACAAGGTTTAAATTTTATTTGTTTATTGATTTTATTCGAGAAAGATTTTATTCGAGATTTTATTCGAGATTTTATTCGAGAAAGATTTTATTCGAGAAATTGATTTTATTCGAGAAAGCGATCTCATAGGTTAAAAGAACTGAATAATATTAGTGTGATAAAATTTGCTTTTATGATTTAATATGACAATTCAAATAACATTAGATCAAAAAAACTTGAAAACAAATCATGCTTTTTTACCATGAAAAATCCATGAGTTTTCCTTGGAAAAGTGTTCCTAATACCTATGGAAATTCCATGGTTTTTCCATGGATGGAAAATCATTGAATATCCATGGTATTTGGAACACTTTTCCATGAAAAACTCGTGGATTTTCATGGGAAACTCATGCGATTCCCATAGGAAACTCATGGATTTCCCATGGAAAACTCATGGGTTTCCCATGAAAACGTGTTCCAAATAACCATGGTTTTTCCATGGGTTTTTTTCATCGGTTTTTTCATGAAAATTTTCCGTAAGGGCTAGTATCACCAGTAAATTTGCTTGATATAACTTGTGAAGTCCCTTCCCAGCAAACATGTTCTATTGAGGCCCATATGGGTTTCCCCAAGAGGGCCCTATGTGGGCTTCATGTATGGGCCCAAAATGGGCCCCATATTGGCTGCCCTGAAACGCAAAATTTTTCAGGGGCAAGCCTATATGACGCCCATTTAGGGCCCATATATGAAGTTAAAAAAGCGTTAAATTCCATTTTATTTTCTAATTTTCATCCGATCGTGCGCGTGGTGGCATGAGGTACTCCGCTAGGTAATTAGCTGAAAGAGTATAAATCACAATACCGAACTTACTTTATGAAAACCCCCCTTACGTTTCTAAACTTTATGAAAACGCTTTTACGTTTCTCAAATGTAATTAATTCTTTTCTTAATTTTTAAACCAAATTCAAATTAACTCTTTTTCAAAAAATCTTCTTTTTATTTAAAGTCAAATAATTTTAAAGACTCCGTTATAGTGCTATCTATGTCATGTATTAGTAGTGTATTACTTTTTTTATGTATAAAATTTTTTTGAAAGTGTATACACTATTTAAGTTTTTATAAACCCACAAGCAAAAATGTATATAAAATGAGAAGCCTTGAAGAGGTCAATATATGTTATTTTAATTAAACTTCTTTAAATAAAAAATACAAATTTATTATTGCACTCTCTATCATCGTGTGCAATCCTGTTCGCTTACTCTATGCTATCTTTCTAACTCGACTACTTCTATCTTTCACTCTAACATATCTTCGTTCTTCCAAAAATCACCTTACTCTCAGTCCGTAGAGCGGGTATGACGCTCCTTCGGGAGCTCAACCAGTGTTTGCGGACTTCTGGTAAAGTGAACTCTATATGGCAATTAGCCGGAGGAGGTAAAACCACAATACCAAAGATATAAATTTACTTACTTATATAAGACTATTACTTTTACTACTTTATTATTAAAATACTTTTTTTACTGTTCGTATATTTATAAATGTTTATTATTGTTTACCTTATTATTTTTATGTTAGATTTCCTGTTTAACTACATATTTATAAATTAATAAATAATTATTCAAAATATTATATAAAATTTAAATAAATAACAAGTGGGATCCATGTGGGTTTCACATTGTAGCCCATATGGGCTGCCAACTTGAGCCCTAATTCACGCCCAGTGACAATTTTCCTTGGGCGGGATGTGGGTAACCCGTTTGTGTCCCATAAAGCTGCCAACTTCTGCCCTATGTTGGGCCCATTATGACTAGCTGGCTGGGTTAGAGATCAAAATAGAAACAATGAATAGTTTAACCCAATATCAATTATATAATTAAATGTAATATTTAATATATATCTATTTAAACAATATATTTATTATATATCTTTTTAAACAATATATAATATTGTTTAAAAAGATATATAATATAACATTATACAATATAATCACATTACAATCAAAAGTAAGTTAAATAAGATAATTAGGAAAATTTTTATCCAATTATATTGCACAATTTAATCTCTCATGCTTTAAAAATTATTATCAAGTTTGATTACTCAAATCAATTAAATTATTTTTTTTTAAATTATCAAATATTGCAATTAAATTAATATATTTATTTTTATTTAAGTGAAAAATTGTCTTTAGTTTTTTTTATATAAATTTTGTTTAAAAACCAATTCCCAAATTGTCATAGAATCAAATATTTTTTCATTCCCTAAATAATACATATTTTTAATTTTAATTTAACGAATACTTTATTATTAGGAGACTTCATAAATTTTTGTAAATAAGAGTTAATAAACAGATATAAAAACAATAAGCTTCAAAAACAATAGATTTTTGAAAAACCACTATTTTATTTTACAATTGTCATGGCGCAAAACTTCAAATCAAATCTTTTTTAACACGCAAAATTTTACATCAAATCGAACTTAACACGCAATATTGTAAAATAGAAGCAGTAAATACTCTACTAAAGTTCTGTAAAGAGACTTTTGTCTTAAAGAAAAAAATGTATTTACAAAAAGATCGCGTACTGACTAAAAAGGTGATGCACTAAATAATCATTTAAAGGAAATACTATTTACGGTTTTTATTATCAAACTTCAGATTACTATTTTCAATACTATTCAATACTAAAAATACTATTTTCAGTTCGCATCCAAATATAAACCATCAAATATGAAAAATAAATTACCGAAATAATCATGATCTGGTGAGACCCAATCACCAATTATAATGTCATGCATAGCAGGTTTTGGTGGTTGTGGTGTCATGTAAAACCATAGTGATGCCATAATACTTAAAGGAGGATCAATTTTTGTCATTAGCAAATTAGGATTTTCAAGAAGATTGATTGGTGCACCATTGTGCATAATACCTTGATCTAGAAGCCATTTAGAAAATAGTCCATAGTTAAAGTTGTAGGATATTTGGATTGCACCACGACCGAAGTAACATTCCTAAATAAAAATTAAAATCTAGAATTAAAAATGTTTGTAACATCTATAATATTTATAAAAATTTTAATATATAAAATAAAATTCAATTTTAACAAAAAAGTAAAATGTATAAAAACATTTATATATAAATTTTCATTGCATTTTTAAATAGTCTTTCTTAACTAATTTATTATTCTTCTGCAAATGGTGTATTCAAAACGTTACCTATTTAAATCAATACTAAATTAAACTGATTTTGTGGAGGCATATAACACTTTAGGTTTTATAATATTTTTTGTTTTTTGATGTATTACAAAGTTAAGTTTGGTTTGTAACTGATATATTACAGAATACCTACGTTTATATAATATTATATAAATTAAAATATATATATATATATATATATATATATATATATATATATATATATATATATATATATATATATATATATATATATATATATAATATTTAAAAATTTAGGAGGGGGGGACCATTCTTAGGTTCTTCCTCAGATAGATCTTTTAGTCAGAAAAAATAACTTACTCATTAAAAAATAAACCATTTTGTCGATAAAATAAGTATCAAAATTGCTTTTAAATATTTTCAACATTTTCAATTAAAGTCAAACATGCAAGAACAAAAAACGAAAAAATAAAGAAAATTCAAAATGTTTTTTAAATTATATTAGTAAAAAATAATTTCTATATATGACATACTAAGTATAGATTTTTAGCTAATAGATCTCTTCGCAGTTCCGATAATTTCGTGCGCGCGCATTTTTAATAGTACTTCATGGTTCCTTAAGCGCAGAATCGCCAGAATAAAAGTAAATACGCACTGCGTATTACACAGATATATTATGAGCCTATATCTTAAAAGAAAAAGTTGTTTACATGAGATTTTTTCTCTTTATTTCAAAATAAAGACATAGATTTTGCTTTATATAAATTTATTTTAACCAGTCTAAAATTCAGTTACGGATCCAGTACATTTTAGTGTTTGAGATTGCTAACTTCCGGACGTGGAGAAAACTTCAAATATTTGTATGTTTATACTTATGTCAAATAATGATAGTTTGCAAAAAATTGCGATGATTGGAGGCTGGGAGCAAAAAAGCTCTTGGGCTTCATCGATTCAATCTCTCTCCTGTAAACCTTAAAAACATGTTTGAAATAAATAGAAATGAAAACTAATATCTAAGGACAAATATATGTAACGCATATAAACTGCCTCTAAACTTTAATAAATATGCTGAATATAGCATTGCATATCGAGGTCCAAATATATGGAATATTTATCAAAAAGGATTTAAATGTATGGCAAAGTCATTAAGTTCATTTAAGTTCGAAATCAAAAATGAAATTTTTAAAATTTGAGATTCATTTGTGCTTGAGTAACTTTGAAGTTACAGGGTTATTCATTCTTATATGCGCGTCTATTCATTTTTATATGCGCCTTTATTCATTCTTATATGCGCATTTATTCATTCTTATATGCGCGTCTATTCATTTTTATATGCGCCTTTATTCATTCTTATATGCGTTTTACAAAAGCAATTGTAAAAAAGAAATTTGAACAAAAAAAAATCATTTAAGCAATTTGTTTTGAAAAAACAAATTGCTTAAATTTTCTTTTTTTTCTAGGTAAACGAGGTTAAAAATACTTAAAACGAAGACTTTTTACATTTGACGATGGTTTATTTAATTTAGTATTAGTTCTTTGTAATTTTATTATTAAATTGCTTGATTGATTAAGTTATTATTTATCTATTTATTCATTTATCTAGATTTAAATTTAATTATTTATAATTATTATTAATATCAATACTTAATAGCTGTAGTACTTAATAGCTATACCATGTAATATAATACTTAATAGCTATAACATGAGAGGCTAGTGCTTGCCTAATAGAAAGACTCCAGTGGAATATACAATTGTCCATAACAAGCACCGGCGCCTCAACTTTTGCATTCCTAATCGCTGGTGCCATCATTGTAGTTATGAAAGTACTGTTTTTTCATTACAAATTGCTTGAATGATTTTTTTTTTTTTAGTTGCTTTTTTACAATTGCTTTTGTAAAACGCATATAAGAATGAATAAAGGCGCATATAAAAATGAATAAATGCGCATATAAGAATGAATAAAGGCGCATATAAAAACGAATAGACGCGCATATAAGAATGAATAACCCTGTAAATGAGGGTTATTTATATAATATCTATATTCTATTGAAAGTATATAGGGCTCTATAAAAAGATTGCGATGCGTTTTGGTATCTTCATCTTCTTTGAGCCCCTGTCTGTTAAACTCTTTACTTAATAAAGATCAATGTAAATATAAAGGTTGTATTTTATATTGTATATTATATTTTTTATTGTATACCTATACAAAAACGGTGCTTGTTGACATTTTTACTGTCTTCTACTATCGACGGACATTTTTTTTTCTTTCTTGTATATATGTATGTTGATTATTTTTGTTAAACAGCAAAATAAATAAAATACAAAAAAGAAAAGAAAAAAAAAGCAGTATGGCTTTTAGACTTAAAATAGTTAATATAAAATTATATAAAATTAAATCAATGTCTTTTTTATGAAAAAGCAAAAAATAATAATAAGTAAACAACTGTTTCTTTTAAGAATAAATCTGCGCTTAAAGAACCATGTCTTACTATTAACTATGCATGCGCGTGAAATTATCGAAACTCTGAAGAGTTAGTTTATTAATTGGTTTTCACCTTATTTTAACTTAACTTGTTTGGTTAGTTTTCATTTTTTGTTTCAATTTCTGTTTTTTAAATGCCGTTTATTTTATATAATTAATATACACTTTTTTTTTTTTTTATCAATATTTTTATTTTTATGGCTATTCTTCTCATTCTTCTTTTTCTTACTCAAATGACCACAATTATAATTTTTGTTATTGTTGATATTGTTGTTGTTGTTGTTACTGTTTTTCTTGTTACACGTTTTTAATAAATAAAGTTGTTTTATGTGACTTTGTACTTCTTTTTATTTATTTGTAACTATAGCGTTTTAACTTTTTTAACTTTACATATAGGGTAGAGCGGGGCAGCCGGTCATAGGCTTAGGTTGGCCCAATCGAGTTTGTTCAAAGACTATGGGCTTCAGAGAACTGGAAATCTAGGTGAAGGTTGATAGTAATACAACCCTCTTTCCAAAAAAAATCATCTTTTTTGGATCATAGTTAAAGTGTGTGGCTATTTTAATGATTTTTGATACATCAAAGTAAACTTTGAACAGTTTGTTTGACGTTAATATACTCACTGTGAATTTTGAACAGTTTGTTTGACGTTAATATACTCACAAGTGTTTGACGTTAATATACTCACAAGTGTTTGACGTTAATATACTCACAAGTGTTTGACGTTAATATACTCACAAGTGTTTGACGTTAATATACTCACAAGTGTTTGACGTTAATATACTCACAAGTGTTTAACGTTAATATACTCACAAGTGTTTGACGTTAATATACTCACAAGTGTTTGATGTTAATATACTCACAAGTGTTTGACGTTAATATACTCACAAGTGTTTGACGTTAATATACTCACAAGTGTTTGACGTTAATATACTCACAAGTGTTTGACGTTAATATACTCACAAGTGTTTGACGTTAATGTACTCACAAGTGTTTGACGTTAATATACTCACAAGTATTTGACGTTAATATACTCACAAGTGTTTGACGTTAATATACTCACAAGTGTTTGACGTTAATATACTCACAAGTGTTTGACGTTAATATACTCACAAGTGTTTGACGTTAATATACTCACAAGTGTTTGACGTTAATGTACTCACAAGTGTTTGACGTTAATGTACTCACAAGTGTTTGACGTTAATATACTCACAAGTATTTGACGTTAATATACTCACAAGTGTTTGACGTTAATATACTCACAAGTATTTGACGTTAATATACTCACAAGTGTTTGACGTTAATATACTCACAAGTGTTTGACGTTAATATACTCACAAGTGTTTGACGTTAATATACTCACAAGTGTTTGACGTTAATATACTCACAAGTGTTTGACAGTTGTTTCAAGTTCTAAAATTTAAACTTATAATTTAAGGATTTAATTTTCACTGCTAAATAATTATAGATTATAAAGGTTATAGGTTATATATAATGTTAAATAATAATAGATTATTTGTTTGAGAATAAAAGCTTATACTTTAAACATTACATTTAAATATGGGACAGATTAGCCTAAATGCGGCGTAAACGTTAGCCGTATGTTATAACCGTTTCTCATCAATTTTTTTTAAATTGTTTTTATTTCTGATAATAATATTTCATATCTGATAATATAAAGCGCGAACATGATAAAGAGAAGCAATGTTAACAGGTTAGTAAACAACCGGGCTGGTATTTGACCTAAGCCAAAGCCGGGTTTTTGGCTGGGGCTGTATAAATATTGGTGCATATTAATGTGATATGTAAAAACAACTAAATATGCACCAATGTTTATGCAGTTCCGTTCGTAGAACCGATCTTGGTCACAGTTAATGCCAGCCCAGGTCATTTACTATTACGAATGCTAATTTTTTTCTAATTTTTATAAAATGATTGGAAAGCCATGTTAATTTTGTTTTTTTAAAGAAAAAACCTATCAATTGTTAAAATAGGATAATTTAAAGCATTGTCTACAAAATTGTCAAATATTAGCTTATATGACAATGGAGAACTTCATTTATATTCATCGAAATTTTTCACTTTGTTTCTGACCTTTTGTTGACTATTCGATAAGGTCAAATTTATTTTCCAATTTACTTTAATCCTTGATCTAGCGTGTTACATATATATTTTACGTGTTACATATGTAAATATAATTTTAAACATAAACTTACTGAAACTTTACTTTTTTTTAAAAAAAATTCCGAAAAATACTAAATAAAATTTTTGTGCCAATAATTATTTTGTTTTCAATATAACGCCTCTTTAGTTTTGTTGTTTTTTAAAACAATAATCTATAAGAATAAGAAGAACAATCTTTTTCTCACTCTTTACATTAAGTTGAAATTTTTCGCAGGTTTTTTTTTTTATTATTGCAAAGATAAATGAAAAAGAAAATTCTACAAATTTTAAACTCATTAATACATTGGTAATCATTTTTAAGTTTGCGCAAACCTTAGGTAGGTTGGCGCACTTTCTTTCTTTTTTTTTTTTGAAGCCCTAGTCGGGTCTCAAGAAAAGATTTTTTACAAAAAAACTTAAAACCACTTGACCAATGGTCAAGTGGTTTTAAGTTTTTTAATTTAATTTAATTTAAGTTAATTTGGGGGACATGGGCAATGACCATGTCACCCAAATTAATATTTTTTAAGACTACACTTAAATATTTTTTTTAAATGTGCCATAAGGGGTGCAGAATTAAGAAGTAAAAACAGAGACAACTTTGGTCCCCTTCAATATTATAACACCATGATTCTATTTTAAAATAATTTGTTATATCGGGATGATTAATTAGTTGGATCAATTACTTATCTAAGACACTAGTTCTGAAATAAACTGATTCATCCTAAACTACCCTTGAAATAAACTGATTCATCCTAAACTACCCTTAAAATAAACTGATTCATCCTAAACTACCCATAGTTTAAATAAGGGTCAAATTAGAATCACTTAAAAAACTTTAGTTATAGAACTCAAAAATAAATCTTAACTTTTTAATTACAGCAAAAGAGTCCATGATTCAATATCAAAACTTTATTCTACCAATCAAATTCTTTTTTTGGAAATAATTTTAAAAAAATAAAATCTTTATTCTATAAATTTTTAACTATTGCACTGCTTGCAAGTATTCCACATCCGAGATTTTTTTAAAATATTTGTATTGTTCATGCTTATCAACTGTTCAACTAAATAAAACTTAAAATAAATTATCATTGTCTAAATCGGTAAGAGTTTAAATATTAAAAGCAAAAAGAACACACAAAAAAGAATACACAAAACAAGAAAAATATTTATATTTAAGAAAAAACAAATATTCGTTTAGAAAACTTAAACTACTTTTTTATAAAATTAGATTTAACCTTACTTGTGGATGACCTATTTTATATATATATTTATCACAAGTATTTATCGCAATTTTATATATTTTATTGTAAAAAACGGCCTTTAATAAAGCTATAATGGAGCTTGATGTTAAGACAAATTGATGTCTTCTTTTTGCTCCAGCCATTTGTTTTGTTATTTATGTTATTTTTTAAATTGTAACTTTCTCAAAATTAAAATTAAAAAAAAAAAAAAAAAACTTTTTGCTTGAAATATTTCAACTTTAACTGTCAATGATTTATTTAGGATGTAATTTATACTAAGTTTATTATCTTTCTATTAGTTGAGAAGAAGAATTTGCTCTCTTAAAAATACTTAAAGTAAAAAAGCAATAATTATTCTGACGTATAGTATAGTTAAAGTATAAAAATTATGACTTTTAGAAAAACTTATTTCACTATAAATGATCTTCTGATTTCTCAATTTAAATCTTTTGTTCACTATAAATGATCTTCTGATTTCTCAGTTTAAATTTTTCATATTTGTTCTTAAAAAGCTCTGAAAATTTTCTTTCGTTAAATAAAACTGATGCTGTATATGAATGCATCGATTATAACAACTAGGTTCTCAGTTATTGTTAAGGAACTTGTTAGTTGAAATCCTTATAAATCTTTTGGATCTGAAGGCATAACTTCTTTAAAATTTAAGATTAGTGCCAAAAGCTTTGCAGTTCCACTTGCAAAAATTTTTAAGAATCTTTTAACTCTGGAATAGAACTCTCTCGCTGGAAATTAGTTAATTTTAGACTTGTCAATTAAAAAAGGAAAATAAAGTACTTGCCGAAAACCATCGTTACTTTAATCGTTTGTCGCGTTCAAAGTTTCTCTAAAAATTAGCATAACTTTCTTAATTCATAATTTGTGCGTAACTGATTTAATAGAAAGCTTTGATATTATTTTTAAAGTGTATAAATGTGGATAACAACAAAAAAAGGTTGTTGTGGAAACAATATTAGAAGCACAGAAAAGTATGGTACCGTACTATATATATATATATATATATATATATATATATATATATATATATATATATATATATATATATATATATATATATATATATATATATATATATATATATACATTACCATTTATGTGCGTAAATATAAATAAACGTTATCGTTCTTTATGCTTTATTACATGGCTAACTATTATAAAAAAATATAACAACTTATAAATCAAAAACAATGATTATTTCATGAAGTTAGTAAAAAGGGTTCTTAATAACAAAACTTTACAAAGTTTTGTTATCGAAGACTAAAGCTAACTGGAAAGCTAATGGAAGACCGGGGCTAGTTGTCAGTAAGGGTAAGTTTTTGAATTGCGTTTATCTTTAGAGTCTTTTTTCAGGAAGTACCCGAAATTGTATGAAACCTTCCTACTTGACTATTTCATCTTTCACCACAATTTTTTACGGTATTTTTTAAATTAGAAAAAAAGTGAGCTACTTTTTTGGCTTAACAAACCATTATATGCTACTGCTCTTTCTTCTAAGCTACTGTAAGCTACTGTTTTGGCTTGTTGTGCGAACTGTTATTTGTTATTAAAATTATATTAAATTATTGGCTAATCTAAATTATTGCAATAATAAATACTAAAACAAAGTAAGTTTTTCACCTAATAACACAAAAACTAGATAACTTACCCCAGGATGGGGTAAGTTATCTTTTTTTTTTTTTTAATTAAGAACGCAAGTTGAAAGAGTGACCTTAATTTATACTCTTTAAAACTACGCTTTAATACTTATATAAAAAATGTGCCTTTAGGGCTGTAGAGTTCAAACGGAGGCAACTAGCTCCGCTCTCCCCTACTTCAAATATAGTTAGAAGTATTTTGATATCTCTTATTTTACTTTACCTTTGCATGTATTTGTTGTAAAAATATTACATATTATTTAAACATGTAAATACTGTGTAGTTGTAAAAAATATATGGGAAAAAAAAAAATAAACCTTGGTCCATTCAGATTTTGTTTCATTTTTACATGGGTAAAACCAATGACTATTGGTACTTATATCACAGTATTCTCCTGATTGAGTGCAAAATTCTCCATCCTTAGGATCAAGTCCATTGTTTTTTACAAAACTTGAAATAGGTCCTCCTTCAAACCAGTTATAAAAACCACCTCTATAAAAACAGTTGTCTGCCTCCTCCCTAGGTAACCTTTGATAAAGATCAATATCATTTTCTCCTGTTTCTTCAATTACATGAGCAAAAAATGCAGATAGGTCTCTTCTATAAGTTTCATTGCGAGTATAATTTGTTGGTAATTTATTTCCAAGAGGATCATGATCAACATATTCATTTGCAAACGTCGGAAAGTATCTTGTTGCAATTATGAATGCTTTATAATTGTATGGACGACATTTTGAAACACCCCATCCAAGATTTGATTTAGGAAACAAGTCGTTAAAAACCGCTTCCGTAAACCAGGATTCCAAAGGAGTTGGAGGCCTATTTTGTGGATCAAAAGGTTCAGAACAATTGGTAGGAGGTTTTTTTCCTGGCTTAAATGGAGGTGGACATTCGATGGCTTCGTAATTTGCGACCATAAAGAAACCTATTAAAAAAAAAAAAAAGTATACTTAAACCATTAAGAAAAAAGCTAAATGAAATGATAACTTTGATAAAGTATTGTTGTTGTGTGATCAGGCTAACTATCTGATTAAATTATCTAATATTCTTAACAAATATAATGGTTCAGTTTACAAAAAATTTAAATAAAAAAATGCCTCAAAAATAAATCTCTAACTATGTATGTGTATATATATATATATATATATATATATATATATATATATATATATATATATATATATATATATATATATATATATATATATATATATATATATATATATATATATATATATTAAATGACGGCATCATTCGGTCACAATTTTTGTGAATTCTTGCTGATCATGGTAATTGAATAAAAATCTGAATCTAAAATCGACTGAATAAAAACCTTTTGAGAAAAGTGTTTTGAAAACATTTGACAATCATGATATAATTTGGAAAATGCATATATTACAATTTTAAAAACTTTAAAAAAGCCAAAACTTTTAAATATATTCAAAACCCTTTATGACAGTTATATGCAAAACTGCGAAAAGCTGTTACAGTATGACATCTACTGTTGTCATCTACACTTTATCATCTACTGTTTTTAACATCTGTCTTTAACATCTACTTTATCATCTACTGTACACACATCTACTGTTGTCATCTACACTTTAATGTGTATCGTCATCTATACTTTAATGCTTGTTTGTTTATTTTATCTATTTATTGTAATTTTAATAAAATAAATCACATCAAAAATATTATTTTAACAATATTATAATAATATATAATAATTACTATATTAAACTAAAATTATTTTTTCTTTCAACTGTAATTAAATACTTAGGTTTGGTAGTTTCTTTATATCTTTTTATTTAATTTGCAAGTGCTTGAAGCAAATTGCAATAAATTTATAAATGATTTATAATTAAATTTAAAATTACTAATTTTGCGTTTTTATCTTCAAAAAATTTTGTAAAAATCTAAGACCAAAGTAAGAGCAGTAATTTTTATAGTTTTTTATAAAACGATTTCTTAATATTAATTATTTATATATTATCTGCGCGTTTTAATAACATTATCATTAACCCTAACCCTGACGGTTTAAAAGTTATCTGTGCAACAGACAACAATGTGTTATTTCAAACGATAATAAATATTCTAATTTCCTAAAAATAAAACGCGGAGTTCCCTAAGGTTCCATACTTGGTCCTCTTTTATTTTTAATCTATATTAACGATCTTCCACAATCACTAAAAAAACTCGATACAATAATGTTTGCTGATGATACAAATTTATATTATTCATCACCATCAATTGAAAATCTCTTTGAATCTGCAAACGATGACCTTGAGAGTCTAAACATTTGGTTAAAAGTAAATAAATTATCAATAAATACAGAAAAAACAAAATACATATTGTTTCATTCCAACCAGCAAAAAAATAAAAAAAAAATAATAAACCCAGTATTCTACCACTATCAAAAATTGATGACATATAAATTAAAAGAAATGAAACTATTAAATTTCTTGGGATAATTATTGACGAAAAGATTTCTTGGAAAGCCCATATAAAAACATTAAATACAAAAATATCAAAGAGTATCGGTATACTTTACAAAGTCAAACCTATACTTTCCCAGGAGAATCTAAAAATCCTCTATTTTTCTTATATACACAGTTACCTAACATATGATAATATTGCCTGCGGAAGTACAAAAAAATCTAAATTAAGTTCTCTATATATACACCAAAAACACGCAATTTATAATTTTTTAATATTAATTTATAATAAAAATAAATTCACTCATGCCGATCCTTTACTTAAAAACCTAAATGCTTTAAATATCTATCAAATTAACATCTGCCAAAATATTTTATTTATGCTCAATTTAAGCTTGGACTCGTCCCAACTCATTTTACTAATAACTTTTTTCAAACCAACGCCAACAGATATATCACACGAGGAACCGGAAACTTTAAGTTGCCCATAAAAAAAACAAATTTTTCGAGATTTTCAATTGTATACCGTGGCCCCTATTTATACAACAAAATAATACCTCAAAATATAGAACTTACTAAACTGGATAATCTTATTACCCTGAAGAAAAAACTAAGAGATCTCATAATTAACAAAACCAATTTTATCGATATGTATTAAATATAAAAGAGCAATTTATTTAACAAAAGAACATAATAAAATGTAAAAAGAACAATTTAATCTATAAAAATAAAAAAAATAAATAAAAAAGAAATAAAAACTAAATTAAAAAATATATATATAATATACTATATTAAAAAAATAACTATATTAAAAAAAAATTATATAATAAATACATATAGTTAGCAACTATAAATAGTAAAATATTACTGAACAGATGACTTCAAAAAGTTAATGTGTGTTTTATAGATTTACTCTTTAAACTTTTAATTTATTTTGTATTTTAAAGGTTCTCGATGAAAAGACTTTTCTTTGTCTTCTGCGAGTTTTTTTACAACTACATAGTACTATTAATATATATTAATATATAGTTTCAACGACAACGACTAGCAAGTCCTTAGTAGCCCTGTGGTGTGACGGACTTGCGTATATTTTTTGAATGCATGGGTTAATAGCCAGCACTTTATATTATAAACTACGCATTTTTAAGTTTATTTTTTTAACTCGATGTCAAACGCTATTGTATGTTTTCAAACTTTCAAATTCAGATTTTTCAAAACAATGGTTAGTGGATGTATTCCCTTTGTGCTCTTAACCATCGATATATATATATATATATATATATATATATATATATATATATATATATATATATATATATATATATATATATATATATATATATATATATATATATATATATATATATATATATATATATATATATATATATATATATATATATATATATATATATATATATATATATATATATATATATATATATATATATATATATATATATATATATATATATATATATATATATATATATATAGGGTAAGGCGGGGTGAATTCGTCACGGAGCGAATCCGTCACTTATGCGACTCAGCTTTAAAATAATAATGCATAAAAACTAAGAAATCTATTAACTAGGTTTTTTCGAAACTTTTTCAACTGATATTTGTAGAGTATTACTAAATAAATTTATTTTTATATTTACCTCCGATTATTCTTTAAATATTGCAAATAAACATTGAAGTTGAAAAAATATTTTTCTGCTTAAATGCCTATCGTCAAAAAATTATCAAAATATAGTCAAAAAATTATCAAAATACGCAATGTTGTGACCACAAAGTATATATTTTTTGATTGATTGATGTCAGTAGTTTTTAAATAATAATTTAAGTTACTATGTTTTTGCCTTTGGAATCGTCACGTAATGATTGTTAGCACATGCTCAAATGAGGGGCAACTTCGTCGTTGAAGAAAAGTTAATACGAAAAATAAATTAGGTTGTTTCATCATGCAAATTTTTAAACTACCGAGCGCCGTTTGAAAGAAAAACAAATTGTGATCAAAATGCGCTCCAAAGCTTTAGACATTTATAAGAGAAAGGCTCTTCAGAATATATTAATTTACAGTTAGCTTTTAAAACTTTTTGAAGTTTTAATTATAAACACGACTTTGATGTGAAACATGTAAACAAACTTATTATAATGTATAGTCTGAAATATATATACAGTAAATAATAAGTATATAAAACATATATGTTATATATTTTTAGGCTATCCACTGCCTATTTTTATACATATTTAAAATATGTATAAGTATTAAATATTGTTAAAATATTATTGAAATTCAATAAATATTATTAGAATAGTTAATATTATTTACTAATTTTACATTAAAATAAGACTTTTATTATATATTATATAGCAAAGATCTTATTCTATTTTAAAAAATATATATAATATTATACTATTTAGTATAACTATTATATATTGTAAAAAGTAAATAGTAAGTATATAGTATAAAATGTGTGTACAGTATAAAATATCTGTTATAAGTATTTTTTGTAGTATTTATTATAAACAAATGTATTATTCATTGGAAAATATAAATGTATATATATATATATATATATATATATATATATATATATATATATATATATATATATATATATATATATATATATATATATATTTTGTGTGTGTATATATATATATATATATGTATATACGTATTGTATATATATTTATTTATTTATATATATACCAATATAAAAAAAACTAAGAATGTATTATTACTTATGGTAGATTTTAATAACATTATTTTTCATGTTAAAATGTATAGATGGTACGTAATTATAAACCAAAGCGACAAAAAAATTATAATGCAGAAATTTTTCAGGCTGCTCTGCAAACCATTATAGATGGAGAAACTATATCAACTGCAGCAAAACAATTTAATATTCCACGTACAACGTTGATTGATAAATTACGGGGAAAACATCAAACACATTCTATAGGTGGTAAAACAATTTTCTTTAAAAATCAAGAAGAAACTCTTGTTCAAAGGCTGCTATATATGGCTGATAGAGGGTTTCCTCTCACAATAATGTGGTTAAGATCTGCTGCTTATTTCTATGCCAAAAGCTTGTGTAGACGTCATTTATTACAGAAGTCCATTCTAAAAAGTTCGCATAATAAATGTTTGGCATCACGTAATTGGTTTCTCTCATTCCGAAAAAGGCATACTCAGTTGACACTAAAAATTCCTGAAGGGCTTTCTCGAGCAAGAGCAGAAGCATTTAATGAGAATCGCGTTCAGACATTTTTTAACGATTTACAACCTTTTTATAAACAGCTTGACATAAAAAATTATCCAAATTTGATTTATAACAGTGATGAAACTGGCCTTTCATCTGTGCCAAATGTCTCTGTTAAGGTAATAGCATTAAAGGGTTCTCATGAGGTACAAAAGTTAACTATTGGTGAACGTGGCGCACTAACAACATACCTGGCCACTGTTAATGCAGCAGGAGACAGC